TCCATTAAAAAGCTCTATACCTACACCGTTTATTCCCTCTTTTATTGTTTGGACATTGGTCTCATTTGCAGATTAACCTCTCTGGTTCCCTGTTGTAATTGTTTTGGTTTTGGATATTCCTGAGAGTTCGTTTCCTAGGTTGATGTCTGGCTGGTGCCATCTTGCATCTTAGATTCAGGCTATGATCTGATGTTGTTTGTTCTCATACCGAAGGACTGCTTTTAATAATTCTTGTAAGTTTGGTTTTGTTTTTACATATTCCCTTAATTTCTGTTTATTTGGAAATGTCCTAATTTCACCATAATATCTGAATGAAGAGTTTTGCAGGATATATTATTCTTGACTGGCAATTTTTTTCTTTCAAGGTTTTATATATGTCATCCCCGTTGTCTTGTTATCTACATGGTTTCTGCCAGATAATCAGAGCTTAGTTTTATTGTTTCCCCTCTGTATGTGACTTTTTATTTTTCTTGAGCTTCTCTCAACATTCTTTCTTTGTTTTTAGCAGGTGTGATTATGATATGCCTTGGTGATTTTCTTTTGGGGTCTGTCATATATGGGGTTCGTTGAACTTCTTGGATGGTCAGCTTTTCATCTTTCATGATGTTAGGGAAGTTTTCTGTCAGCAATTCTTCAATGATCCTGTCTGTATTTTCCATTTTCTCCCCCTTTTCTGGAACTCCGATCACTCACACATTTTTGCTTTTGATTTTATCCCACGTAATTCTCAGGGTCTCTTCATTTTTCTTTGTTCTTTGTTGTGATTTTTCCTCAACCAAATTTGTATCCAAATTTTTGCCTTCAATTTTGCTGATCTCGCCTTCCATTGTTTCACACCTGCTCCTCAGCCCTTCTATGACACTGTCCATTTCTGAAATCCTATTATTTATCTTTTGGATTTCTAATTTTTGTTTTTGTATGATTTCTAGTTGTGAATTTATTTTGGCATTTTGTTCCAATATTATTTTCCTGAATTCTTCCATTTTTTTTTTTTTGGTCTGTATTTTCCATGAATGTGTCTATTTTTTCCTCCTTTTTGTGTACTTTTTGCTTCAACTCTTGTATAGCTGTGAATGTTAGCGATTTGAATTCCCTATCAGGGAGTTCTATTGCCTTTTCTTCTACTGGAAAGTCATCTGGTGTTTTATTTTGGATACCTACTGGAACCATCCTGTCCTGTTTTTTAATATGTTTTGATATTGTCTGCTGTCTTCGGGACATCCAGTAGTTATTTTCTTCATTTATTGATTGTAGATTTGTTTGTTACATCCTGCTTTTTTGTTTTATTTGGTTATGTCTGAGCAGGCAGGATGTGCAATCTTTGTTTGCTGTGGACACTATACTTTTCACCTCCTTGTCCAATGGGCAGGGTCGGTCACTCAGCTGTGGTGCAGAAGGGCGGGTCCAGCTGAAGGGGAGTTGCTTGGATGGGTTGTTTGTGGCATGTACTTGGTCTGACAGAGTGGGCCAGGAATCAGTGCAAGGCAAGTTCTAGTAAACCATGCCGGTGCTGCTTGGGGGTGTGATGTTAAGTACACGGTGCAGTTAGGCAGGAAGGAGGGGGGAGGTTGTGATGTGTAGGGCTAAGATGGGTATGGGAAAGAATAGAGAGCAGAGAGTAACAGGAGCCAAAACAAACAAAACACACAAAAGAGTGCTAAGGGAGCAGGTGCTCTGTCTCCTGCTAGGAGCTCAGTAAGGCTGCTTTCTTGTGTCTCTGTCCGCCAGTCTCCAGTGTGGGCAGGGTGAATCCAAGCAGCATGAACCCTGCACTTGCCGTCCAGCAGAGCAACCACAGCCAGCTAGGAAGCAGCAGATTTTGAGTAGGGGTCAGAAGGCTAGGGGGTGGGAAGGCGTATATCACTGGTTACCAGTTGTTCTGTCTCTTGCTACGAGCTCCGTGAAGCTACTTTCCTGTACTCCGTGTCTGCCAATCTCTGATAGGAGTCCAGGATGGCAAATCTGTTCTGGATTAGCTGATACAGGATGTCCACACATATCTCTCCTTGCTCTCCATTCTCTGTCAGTTTCATATTCCATTCAGTGCTTGGCTGAGTTCTTTATCTCTTTGTTTGACACTTAGGGTTCCAGGATTGACATATCTCTGTTTTACTTAGTTTTTCAAGTCTTTGCTTTGAAGGGATTGTATGTTGCTTCTGTTTATAGTGCCGTGTTGGCTCCGCCTCCACATCCCCTTCTTTTTATTATCTTCAGAGCATTTGACACTGTGAGAGGTTTTGTGCCTTAATTTTTTGTTTACATGATTATTGCTCTATCTCTCACTAGATATACTAGCACACGGTAGGCCTTGAACAGATAGAAAAATCTTAATGAATAGACATGAGACCTTCCTTTTGCTTCTGGAAAAAATACAAATATGCTATACTAGAATATAAGAGAGCCCAATTTTGGTATGTAAAGTGGAATAAAACCTGCAATTGCTGTTGTTGTTAGTTGCCTTCAAGTTGGCCCCTGACTTATAGTGACCGCATGCACAACACAACAGTCTGGTCCTATGCCATCTGCATGATCAGTTGCTGATCAGAACATTGTGATCTGTAGAGTTTTCACTGGCTGATTTTCAGAAGTCAATCATCAGACCTTTCTTACTAGCCTTAGTCTGGAAGCTCTACTGACAAATGAGCAGCACACAAGCCTCCACTGACAAATGAGTAGTGGCAGTGTATGAAGTGCATTGACCAGGAATTGAATATGGGTCTTCAACATGGAAATCAAGAATTCTACCACTGAACCACTGTCTGTCTCTGCGTTACACACAGACAAACTGTGCCTCAAACTTCTAAGCAGCAATAAAACTTCTAGGAACGAGATCTTCACTCCTGGATGCGACATTCATTCAGTATGATCAAGTCATACACAGGAGACACGTACGCAGTGTTGGCAAAGTGAAAGCTGTTATTAGTACTTATAGAAAGCAAATAGTAAACAATAGGAACAGATTACTTCTGATGAACTGATCTTGCCCCCCTACATGTAGCTCTTTTTTTTAGAAGAGGAACCTACTTAACATCTCAAAGGTGGAACCCCAATTTACCCTTCCCCCAAGTTACCCATGGCCCTACATATGTCACTCAACTGGCATGCTATGGTTCCAGTAAAATGCTGTGTTCACGTCACTGCCAACTCTGGCCCCCACGATGCTACCCACTGAGCTCTACTGCACTGCCTAGGGGGCCTGCATGGCTCCTTCTGCCACTCTGCTCTGCCCTCCTGTAGAAATACCCCTGCACAGAATCGTTGGAGCCTCTGCAAGCAACCCCTGCATGAGGGTGCCCAGCTTCATTGGCTACCTCCTGCCTTGGGATGCTCAGCTTCTCTCCATGGGCCAACTAGCACGCCACAGCCATCTCCCTCCATGGACCAACAAGCCCTCAACTGGTATTACAGCTCTTTTTCTGGGTCTAAGAGGTTCTCAGCACATGGACACCGGGTCCAAAGGATGCACTTCACTCCAGGCTCCTGATGATCATGAGGTCCTCAACAACCTTTGTCAGATTGGCTACTAATACAGGCAATCTCAAGGCCTGACCCTCCCAGCAGGACCACAAACTAACCAATCCCCTAGGTGGACTGAAAACCACTCAGTCCTGTTGGATAAATTACAAGTTGATTATGTGGCTAGTAAACCAACCAATCCCTACAATCTGCTATGCAGATAGTGAGTAGACCAATCACTTGCAAGATTTCAGCCTGACCAATCATTTTGGGAGGATTACAAACCAGGGCCAGAAAGGCTGTATAAGAGAAACTCAATGCACCACAACCACCAGTGTCCCCTGAACTGTGAGTAAATTTTTGTATATGTGAGGGGTGGGTACTGTAGTCAGCTGAAGTCATCAGGGGTCTCTATCGTGGAAAACGGAAGGACTCAGTCCTTATGGCTCTTCAGCCACTTACTTGCCTGCCTTCCTCCAGTGAACATGCGGATAGTAAAAGTTCACACCACATCTGTGAATGTGATGTAAATATCTAAACCAAGTTTACTGAGAGAGAAACTTTAAAATTGGAAAACAAACAGGGCAAGCTCTATTCTTTAGACCTTAAATAGATGTCTGAGTGGGCCTGAAGATCCTCTGGGCACTGTAGCCAGCTCAGTCTTCAATCAGGCTGGAGATGTGTAGTCTGTTGGCCTGAGACCACGCCGAAAACAGCCACATGCATCTAAATCAGAGTTCTTTTGTCTTAAGGTGTTGGTTTATATCTATGAATCCTTTAAAAAGTTCTAACCTTTCCAGTGAAAAAGTCTAGTGATCCAACAAAATTCCCTATTCTTTTAAAACAAAACAAATAAATAAAAACACCTTAGACCTGGTTTAAAATTATACATGGAAATAAATGTATGTGCTGGTACATGTGTTTCTTACCTGTACTTGTAATGGAAGTACTGGAATGTCGTGTTGCCCAGGATAGAACCATTAGATTGTTCTTTAAAAGGATAAGATAGGAAGTGACTGTATTTTTAGTTAAGTGATCCAAGAACTCTCATCCTCTCACTGTCAGGAAATACTAAAATAGTGAACAAAGATTAACTTCAGAAAGAAAAGGGATTTCCTGAGCACTGATTGGGCTTATTCTTTTGGTTAAAGCATGGATAGTTTTATCAAAACCTCCTATCACTTTGGTGGCAAACTGCAAATTTGAAGACCTAAACCCAAATTCATCAAACCCAAGATCATTAACAGATGTTTCAGACAGTTTCTTCTTCTGCTTTTAAAAAATGAGAATCTGTAGATAAGATGACATGTCTTTAGGGATGATGTTTTTCCTGTTTACTTTTTTTCTTGTTTATTTCAAAGTTATGGGGACTTACACAGGGACTCTCCAAGCCCTGGCAAGACTTAAGTGGTTGTCTGCATTTTTGCTCCTGATTTGTGAAAAGTTCACCTCCATGACTGGCCCATAAATTACAAACCATATAATCTGCTGAGTGGAGAGGCAGAGTTCTGGACTGAAGTGTTTTCCATTTTTCATTCATTTAGAGTGGAGGAGAAAAAATAGATTCAGAGGAGGCCTTGATATATGAAGAGGATTCAGATGGAGGAGATGGTGTTGAAGGCGAGTTGGAAGAAAGCGCAAGATTAAAATTGTTCCGCAGGCTTGCCTCTGTGGCTTCCAAGCTGAAGGAGTTTATTGGCAACATGATAACCACTGCTGGGAAAGTCGTGGTGACGATTCTACTTGGTTCATCAGGTAAGTGTTCCCAGGACAAGATCGAGCAGAGTAAAAGACACAAGTAGGTAAATAATGAAAGAAATGGTTGAAGAGAAAATAAAAAAGGAAATAATTCTATTCCATGCCACCAAAGCAGTGACTGAGCTCTTGTGAAACTGGCCTCATTTACAAACTACCAAAAAAAAATAACGTTTTTTTCTGTTACGTTCTAGTTTTTATGTTTATAGATGGTTTCCGTTAACCTCTGTAAAGCAATCTTTTTCCATATCTCAGTGACCTCACTTTCTATTTTTAGACTAGAATAGGAACTATTCTTCTTCCTTAGGTCCTCTGAGTAGTAATCTCTGCCATTTAGCAATTTGAGTGTACTGATCATGACCTTCACACGTACATTCTAAAGGCACATGTTTACATTGTATTCATCTTAATTTAATTCTCCAGGATATAACATTTTTCTTCCTAAGTTAGATTGTAATCTTCCAGCACAGACACTCACTTCCTCTAAATTTTGGCCAAGGACGGCTTATTCCATAGTCATGTTATCTTGATCTTCTACCTCCTGCTTCCATTGCAGTTTTCACTGGTGCTCTTGAGCTGATCGTGAAATTTATTAGAGGAAACTTACTTAAACTTCTTAGCTGAAATTCATAAGATAAAACAGCTTAAATGGTTTTTAATGAGAAAAAAAAAGAGGAAAAGAAAATAGAATTTCTCAAAAAATATATAATTCAATATTTAGTGAGAAATCACATCAAAATGCCAAATAAAATTATTTTAAAATACCTGTAAAGGAGTCATCACATTTTACATTACACCTTTTGGTGATAGGAAAAACAAATTTTATCAGGTAGGATAAAGTTTTAGTGAAATTTTAGCTGCCATAACCAAACCAAACCCGTTGCCCTTAAGTAAATCTCAACTCATAGCAACCTTTTATAGAATGTAATAATTATTATGAATCTTATTTAACCAAAAAACTAAATTATTGTAAAGAAAATGGTGTCAGGGAAAATTTGAAGCATATATGTATTCCCAGAAAATTTTCAGGAGAAGAAAAAGTAAAAGATGGAAACAGGCAAGTAAATACGTTCCATTTTATTGGCATCAAAAGTAGCTGTTTATGCTGCTCAAACACCACAGGTATTTGAAGAAGATGAACTTCTTCATCTGGTCTTTCCCTGCATTTGCAAAATTGTTACTTCATATATAACTTTTTTACAATAAAATTAGCACTTGCTCTGATTATACAAACAGCATGTGCTTAATATCTTAAAAACCTGATCAATACCTAAAAGCATATGAAAGAAATTCACACATAATTTCCACTAGTTACCTTTACTAAGTGGTAAGTGATTTTCTGGTTCTATCCAGTTTTTCATAATTGCATTTCTTTTTCCTCAGGTATGATGTTGCCATCTTTGACCTCGTCTGTGTATTTCTTTGTGTTTTTGGGTCTATGTACCTGGTGGTCCTGGTGCCGGACTTTCGACCCATTGCTCTTCAGCTGTCTCTGTGTTCTGCTGGCTATTTTCACTGCTGGACACTTGATTGGGCTTTACTTATACCAGTTCCAATTCTTTCAAGAAGCAGTTCCACCCAATGACTACTATGCAAGGTAAGAGAAATATTTAGGACGTTTCAATGAGAGTCCCCCCACTCCCCTTTATGATCTTGATTTGGGATTTAGAATTTGCAGGGATTCTTCTTGATGGCAATTGATGTGTTAAGCAAAGATAAGTAGAGGGTCTCCTCAGATGGAGATACTGCTGAACCCAGAGAAGGAGGGGACCTGCCATTTGGAGTAAGTAGAACAGACACATGATTTAGGCTGTGGAAAGAGGTCCAGGAAGTCAGTTATACATCACTGAATAATAAGGAGGGGTCAAATGGATCCAGCTAGAAGAAACTGTCATGGGCCTTTTAAATATAGAGCAAATTGAGCATCAAAAATAAAAACTAATTGATTGTAAAAATTTTTAAATAAAAATATATGAGACCATAGTGAGAGAGAGAGTGTGTGGGAAATTTCTAATAATTTGCCTTGATTGGAAATGACTATTACACCAACTTCTTACTGTGCAAATGAGAATTAAAGTGGAAGAATTCATCATGTACTGACTTTTTAGAAGGAACTCTAGGACTTTCAGTTGACGAGGAAATATTTATGGGAAATAATGTAGCTAGTAGAATTAAAAAATTACCATTTTTCAATCTTAATGAAATGCTTGATTCTAGCTACAACCTGAAACCATTGCTTTAAAAGTTTGTTGGGATGCAGAATGTTTGCCCAATGACAAATTCAACCTCACTGATTATTTGCCAATTGCAGTGGAAAATCATACATTGTCAATGATGGTCAACACCTTAATCGATTGATCTAAATTAACATTACTGAGGTGGAGCAACATGATGAAGTGAGTGTATGCTTCCGTTTACCCCCTACCCCCAGCAACTAACTCACTGAACAATGAATAAAAACAAGCACAGACTGAAATCTCAGAACTCTGGGCAGGAAATGAGGTGTTGGAGAGTCAGGACGAGTCCAGAATGGGGGAGAGGAGGAATGGGGATGGCACAGAAGCTGGAAGAACCTACCTACTAACATCACAAGCATTCATTCATCGTAGCCACTTTAGGACAGGGCTGGGCTGTACCCAAAATAGGGAGCATAGAAAGGGAGCTGATTTGCAGAAGCTGTAGCCTGAATTTTTAAGGCAGTACAGATTGGCTGTGGGAATTTGCAGGTCACACAATTGGGAGGGGCCAAAGGGGAGACCATGACACCATGAGAGATGGACGAGCACTTGGACCAGGAGAAGTTCTGGGAGGAACTCCAAGGGTAGCCGGGTGAGGAGAATACTTCAGATAGGCAGTGACATAGAAGGAAAAACAGCTATTTCCCTGCCCCCAGTGGGACACTGTGGAAGAGCCTGTGAAGGGGTGCCCATGAAGGAAAGACATAGAGACCTTCCCATCTTCATCCCAGGAAAGTTGAGCCCCACCGCTTATGTCACAGTCTGTGATCAGTTAAATGCCCCTCTTCCTACATGTGCATATTGAATTCCAGAGATCAAGCTTCTAGAACTGAATCAGCACTGGAGAAAAAAAAAAAAAAAAAAGGCTAAGGATAAGAGTGCCCTCTAGTGGTTCTCAGGAGAAGATACCAAGCCCACTGCCACTGGGTTGATTCTGAGTCATACTGACCCTGTGAGAACTGCTGCATACAGTTCCCAGGGCTGGAGTCTTTGTGGAGGTGGGATGCCACATTTCTCTTCCCCAGAGGGCTGGTAGGTGTGGGCCCTGGCCTTTCAGTTGGCAGCTGAGTGCTTTGCCTCTGTGCTACCAGGACACCTAATCAGAAAATTTTACCATAAAAACCAGAATACAAAATTTAAAGTAAAAAGAAAGATAACAAAATGGCCCAAGTTCAACAAAAAATAGTAAAAATACACAAAAATCACAAGAGAAGAAGCAATCAAAAGCAAAGCATGAAGAAGAGGAAATTTCTCCTGTGGAAGCAAGAATAATGCAAAGAATTGATAAGTTTCAGGCTAGGCTGCTAAATATGTTTAAAGAAAGTAAAAAACACACAGAAAACAAACTAGCAGAGATCAGGAAACAAACAGAGCAACAAAATTAGAGACTTAACGGGGAAATTGACAACAACAACAAAAAGAAACAGAGAACTACTGGAACTGAAGAATAATGCAACTAAATTAGAAAGAGCAAGAGAAACACTCAACAATAAAGTCGAACAGACAGAAGATAGAATAAATGAACCAGAAGACAAAATAACTGAACTTATCAAGTCTCAGTAGAAACAAGATAAAAGAACAAAGAAAGGTGAACAAAGCCAAATGAAAATATGGGATTCAGTTAAGAAATCTAACATTAGAATTATTGGAATCTCAGAGCACCATGACAACAATGAAAGGCATAGAAACAATTTTCCAAGAGATAATCAGAGAGAATTAACAGATCTGCACAGAGAACCAAGCCTGCAAATACAGGAAACTACATGAACCCCAATTAGAATAGACACATAAAGATCAACTCTGCCATTTCCTAATAAAATTCTTGAAAACCAAAGAGAAGTAGAGAATTCTGAAAGCAGCAAGAAAAAATGCAACATAACGTACCTAGGGGGCTTTCATAAGAATCGGTGTGAATTTCTCCCCCGAAACTCTAGAGGCCAGAAATCAATGGAGCAGCATATCTAAAATACTAAATGAAAACAGTTGCCAGCCAATAATTCTTTACCCAGCAAAGTTTTCCTTCAAAAACGAGGGGGAAATCAAGATATTCCCAAATAAACAGAAGCTCTGGGAATTTGCCACTATCGGATCACCTCTACAAGTATTCTTCAAGGGGGTACTTCAAGTTGAAAGGCAAAAGCATTACATAAATACTAGTATCTATACAAAGGGAAAAAATAAACAAAAAATAAGAGCTCTCCAAAAAACGCAACAACATGGGCAATTATAAGGACCAAGTATATGATACTTTTAGGGAAAATTCAATACTTAAATCCACAAACAATACAACATCAAGTTTGTAAGAAATAAGTACAAAGTAAACTTATCAAATATAGGTTGTATATTTATGTTAATGCAGCCATACCAAAAGAAATAGGGGAGGGAGGAGCATATCAGGGATAGATTTATTATATTAAGATTGTATGTTAACAGTTATTCATATGTTAAATGTAATTTGTGTAATGTAACATATGTGGTAACTACTAAGAAATCACCAAGAAGAAACATTCAGAAGAAAAGAAGGAAGATAGCAAAAAGTTTCATCACAAGAAAGCAGCCAAAGGCAAACAAAAACAGGAAAATCAGAATAAAAAAAAACAAGATATGCAACACTTAAAAAACAAATAGCAAAATGAATGAGGGAGACACTTTGTTTTCAGTAATAACCTTAAACATAAATGGTCTAAATGCCCATGCAAAAGGCAGAGTGACAGATAGATAAAAAAAAATTATTCATCCTTTTCCTGTCTACAAGAAACACACCTTAGATATAAAGACAAAAGAAGGATATAAGGATAAAAAAGTATGGAGAAAAATATTCCATGCAACTGATAAATGAAAAAGAGTAGGGGTGGCCATACTGATATCAGTAAGATAGACTTTAAATCAAAAGCTGTTTCATGAGATGAAGAAGGACATTACATAATCATAAAAGGGTAAATCCAGCAAGAAGACATAACAGTTATAAATATATTTGCACCTAAGATGCACAATACATTAAACAAATACTAATATGAAAGGAGAAATAGACAACTCTACAATAATAGTAGGGGACTTCAACACAACACTTTCAATCATAGACAGAATATCCAAAAAGATCAGTGGAGACTTTGAGAACTTAAATAAAACCATAAGCCAACTGGATCTAACAGACGTATATAGAACACTCCACCCAGCATCAGAACAATGCACACTCTTCTCCAGCGCACGTGAATCGTTTTCCATATGCTAGGACAAAAAACAAGTCTCAACATATTTAAAAAGATTGAAATCATACAAAGCATCTTCTCTAACCATAACGGTATGAAGCTAGAAATTAACAACAGGAAAAATAAGGGAAAAAATAAATACATGGAAATTAAATAACACGTTACTAACAAACTATAAAAGGAGAGAAGGTTAGTACTCCCACTGACAAGGATGGAGGAGGCCCTGAGGCCTTACCACACACATATGGTTAAGGCATTGCCACATACTTTGTGGCATCTAACCACAGTTTGGATCCCTGGTGGCACAGTGGTTGAGAGCTATGGCTGCTAACCAAAAGGTCAGCAGTTCAAATCCACCAGCTGCTCCTTGGAAACCCTATGGGGCAGTTCTACTCTGTCCTATAGGGTCGCTATCAGTCAGAATTAATTAGATGGCAATGGATTTTTTTTTTTTTTTTTTAGTTTAACAAACTATTGAGTTATAGAAGAAATCAAAAGTGAAATTTAAAAATTCCTAGAATCAAACAAAAATGAAAACGCAAACCTTTGGGACATAGCAAAATCAGTACTCATAAGGAAATTTATACAATAAATGGCTGCATTAAAAAAGAAGAAAGATCAAAAATCATTAACTTAAACCGACAACTTGAACAAGTAGAAAAGGAAGAACAAAAGAAGCCAAAAGCTACTCAAAAAAGGGAACTAGTAAAGATCAGGGCAAAAATAAATGTAATAGAAAAACAATAGAAAAAAATCAACAAAACCAGAAGTTAGTTCTTTGAAAGGATCAATAAAATAGACAAACCGCTGGCTAGATTGACAAAAGAAAAAAACCAGAAGAGGCAAATGACAAAATTAAGAAATGAGATTGGTGAGATTATAACTGATTCAACAGAGATAAAGAAGATCATAACTGATTACTATGAAAAGTTATACTCCAACAAATTTGAAAACCTAAATGAAATGGACAAATTCCTAGAAACACACTACCTACCCAAACTAACACAAACAGAGGTAGAAAATTTAAACAGACTCATTACAAAAGAAGAGATTAAAGATGTCATCAAAAAACTGCCAACAACAACAACAAAAAAAAGCCCAGGACCAGATGGCTATACTGGAGTATTCTACCAAACATTCAGAGAAGAATTGACACCAATCCTACTTTGTCTTTTCAAAAACATAGAAGAGGAAGGAACGCTGCAAAACGCTCTGTATGAAGCCGGCATAACCCTAATACCTAAACAGGGCAAAGATGTCACACACAAAAAAGAAAATTACAGGCCAATATCCCTTATGAACATATCTGCAAATATGTTCAACAAAATTCTAGCCAACAGACTTTAGCAACTTATCAAAAAAATCATACACTATGATCAAGTGGGATTCTAAGCAGTATTCTAGCTGTACTTCTTCCAAGACACATTTGTTCATTCTGGCGGTCCATAGTATATTCAGTATTCTTCACCAATACTATAATTTGAAGCCATCAATTCTTTGTTCTTCCTTATTCATTGTCCAGCTTTCGCATGCATATGAGGCGATTGAAAACACCATGGCTTGGGTCAGGTGCACCTTAGTCCTCGAAGTGGCATCTTTGATTTTTAATACTTTAAAGAGGTCTTTTGCAGCAAATTTGCCCAATGCAGTGTGTCATTTGATTTCTTAACTGCTGCTTCCATGGGTGTTGATTGTGGATCCAAGTAAAGTGAAATCATTGACAACTTCAGTCTTTTTTCCGCTTATCGTGATGTTGCTTATTGGTCCAGGTTTTTATTTTCTTCATGTTGAGTTTAATCTATACTGAAGGCTGTAGTCTTTGATTTTCATCAGTAAGTGCTTCGAGTCCTCTTCACTTTCAGCAAGAAAGGTTGTGTCATCTGCATATCTATAGGTATGTGTAAATACAAGTATGTGGGTGCAGGCACATATACTCATTGAAAACTTAAATATGGATACTTCTCAGACATAACCAAACACCTTGATTGACTTTCTGCATTTGAAGGCTTAGGACCATAGTCTCATGGGACAACTCAGTCAACTGACATAACATAGTTTACAAAAATCATGATCTGCCTCCTAGTGAAGTGAGTAGCATCTGGGGTCTTAAAAGCTAGTGAGCTGCCATCTAAGACTCAACTATGGATCTCTGATCACCAGGAGCAAAACAGTAAGAGGGTAACCAAAAGCTCAGAAAAGAAACAAGTCTACTTGAACCACAACCTCATCTACCCTGAGACCACAAGAACTAGATAGTGCCTGGCTACCACCACTGACCATACTGACTGGCGTCACAATAGTTGATCCCAGATAGAATGGGAGAAAAATATGGAGCAGAACTAAAATTATTATTAAAAATGAAATAAAAAGCCAGACAAACTGGAACAGTAGAGAACAGAAGATTCCCTGAGACTATTGCCCTGAGACACTCTTTAGCCCTGAGATTACCTTTGGCAAAATGGCAGAGTGGCACACAAAATAAAGGATATTACCCATAAGATCAGTGCCCTACTTAAAAACCATAAGTATGATTCCACAAGATCAACAATTTCTCAAAAGCAAGGAAGAGAAGATAAGGGGGCAGGGAAACTAGAGTACTGGAAAGGGAAAAATTGAACACAAATAAGAGCATGCTGATATATTGTGATAAATGTAACTAATGTTACTAAATAATTTGTGTGGAAATTGTCAAGTGGAAACCTAATTTGCTGTGCAAACTTTCACCAAAAAGTTAATTAAAAAAAAAAGGAAAAAAGAAAAAAAAAAACTTAATAAAATTGTATTAAAAAATTAACTTTAGTAAAAATGGAATAACTTGCCACTTCACACCTCTTGATGTGATGTACTATGAGATGTACAGCATCACACTGGTAAGCCTTGAGACCTAGCCTCCAATTGACAGAAAACATAAGGGACAGAAAAATAGTTTAAATGGCTCCAGAGAAACCCAGAAAATAGATTCTACAAGGTGATTGATTTGGTCTCTTCAAGAATCATGTCATGAAAAAGAGTGTGTATGGAGTGCGAGGGGGGTGGTGGAGGGACAGGAACTGCTGTAGTTTAAAGGAGAACTAAGGAAACATAGTGAGCCAGCGTAAAGCATGACTCTATAAATGTGGAAATTAGAGTGTGGATTGGATATTAGCTGAGAATATAGAAGTCTTGCTAATTTCTTAGGTGCATGATGGCATTGTGGGTAAACAGAAAATTTTCATTTTTAGGAGATACATAGTAAATTATTTAGGGATGAAGTGTCATGATATCTGCAACTTTGAAATGGTTTAGCAACAAACTTTAGATAGATGATAGACAGGTAGATGAAAGATAAAGAAAGTATGACAAAATGTTAATGATTATCGAAACTAGGTAATCTGTATGGGCTTATCCATTGTCCTACATGAACTTTTCTTTGTCTTCGGAAACATTCATAACTGCATGTTGCAGAAAAAAGAAAGGAGGACAGAAATGGGCGGAGAGGCTCTAAGTGTGAAGTGAAGGCTGTCCAGAATTCTCTCTGATGTGCCCCTGGGGAATGGTATAGGGACTTATTTTCTTCTTGTTCAGAAAGGAGGCATCTGTATTTTAAAAAGAACATGGATATTATTACCATGCTGGTAATGCAATTTTGCATCCTTCTTTTAAGAGATTATAATGTGTTTTTTCCTGGTGGCAAAGTGGTTAAGAGCTCAGCTGTTAACCAAAAAGTCAGCAGTTCGAATCCACCAGCTGCTACTTGGAAGCTCTATGGGGCAGTTCTACTCCATCCTATAGGGTCACTATGAATGGACTCAAGGGCAACGTTTTTTTCTTTTTTTTTTTAATGTGGTTTTCATGTGACAGTCAATGGAAGGAGTGTGTGTGTGGACCCTTGCTTTAACTGTAAATGTGTAAAATCTGGATATAATTAAACCTAGTTTGTGGCTGTGTCTGCACTATGCTTAAAAAAAAAATGCTAGTCAATAAAGTCCTAAAACCCTTGAATTCAGTTAAGAACAAAAGTTCGTATCACACACATACAGACACACACAATCTACCTAATTGCAAATCCAGTTGGCTCAACCAATTGTATAAACCTGGAAATTTAAGAAGTATAATTCAGTGTAAAAATAAAAATGTTATTTAGACACATTACAATTGAGTGGCTTCGTTAATGGTGCAGACTTATTTTAGGTGGGAATGAGAAAATGCTAAAGTTAGTGCAGACATTAATTCTAGACTAAATGAATCCTTTTGTTTTGTTTAGACATTTAATTTTTGGTTTATTGAACACATGTTGCAAAACGTTTTGTACTGTTGAGAGGGTGACTTTTAAGGGATGACTTCATTGGAAATGTAAATATCCTCTAGAGCCCAGTAAGTCCCCCTTCCACCCACACACACTCCCTATAAGCTTCAGGATCTTTTGTGCCATCTAGAGGCTGACGCTGGGTTGTTGTTATTAGGCACCATCTAGTTGCTTCTGGCTCTTAGTGACGGTACCTACAACAGAACAAAACACTGCCGGGTCCTACGCCATCCTCACAATCATTGCTGTGTTTGAGCCCATTTGAGGGTGGGAATATAAAGAATATTCAGAACCAGCTAGAAGACACTTGCATAGATTTGGCAGAGTTTATCTGTGAAGGGTCACTTTTAGGACTTGTGGGTTACATGGTCTCTGCTGCAGTTTTTTCAAGAAGCCATCATAGTGTGAGAGCAGTCATGGACAGTGTGGAAAGAATGAGTGTTGCTGTGTTCAAATAAAATTTTATTCATGGACACTGAAATTTGAATTTCATACTATTTTCATGTGTCATGAAGTATTATTTTTCTTTTGATTTTTTTCCAACTATTTAAAAATCTAAAAGCTATTATTAGCTCATGAGCTATACAAAAACAGGCAGTGAGCCAGTTTGGCCTACAGGCCATAGTTTGCTGACCTGTGTTACTGATAAGAACAGTTCTGATAGTATAATAATTTATCACATTTGTTTTTAACTAAATTATCACAAACTTGAAACTTCAATTATAATTTAATGTATGCATTTGAGATAAGCCCTTTTCCAGCTTAAAATTTTCATTACTACAATCTCATTAGAAAGTCATTAGAAATTAGGTTGCATGTCAGGGTATAGAGAGTTTGAGCTAAAGAATGCAATATATGAATTCCATGTAGGTTTTTCCCTATTAACTTGGTAATAATAGGACATTACATTTTAGTCCTTTAAAGTTTAGACAGTTACATGTTTAAAACAATAGCTATTTCCTAAGGCATAATTTCAATACATTAGTATTAACCTCAGAGTCTGAT